GATATACCAGTGGAATGGCCCAACCAGAAAGCTCAAAAGATGCGAGTCAAAGGAGTGCCAGGTATGATTTCAAAGGCAGATCTTCTCTCGAGTACCGTCATCCGCGCCAAGACTGGCTTTCCCAGGCCCAGGTAGGCTCAGTGCGAAACGACTCCAAATGGAGACAAAAGGAGGCAATAACTAGGGACGAAGATGGGCTACGGACATTCGAAGGTTCTAGAACGTTCAGCATCGAACGATCGCGAAGTCACCGTAAGTAAAATTGAGTCCTTTTTTACCCTGGGTGGCTTAGGAAACAAGATACTAATATTTCTTACGTTATTAGCCTTTGGAAAGCAACACAACCGAGACAACACACAGATATCCAGTACAAGTGCCACTCGTCACGATAATCCTGGGACTGCTGAAAGACCCGAAGAACCTTATCCAATATCAGCCGGCCAGACCCCAGTTGCTTATGGATTACCCCCTGGCAGCGCACGCCCCCTCGCAGAGTTTGTCAATGACACAGATGAGAATAAGGTGGAGAGGAAGCTGAACCTCTTAGACTTGGTATCGCAACTAAGGGATCGAGATGTCTAGGATAAGAGACAGTATGGAGATAGGCATTTCTCCAGCCTTATCCAGCACCAACGTCACCTACATAACACCTTGTTTGTCTACTCAACCGAAGAGAACTTGGGGTGCAGATTGCTATTCAGTTAGTTCAATTTTCACTTTTGCTGAATACTAGGAATAAGGACAGGGATACCTGAGTATGCTGCCTAGCCAGAACTGGTTGGTCGAAGGGGCGGCTGGTCACCATATCACGAAAAGTGGCTCCCACCCATGACCAATAGAGAGTGCATAGGTGTTGTCAAGTCGATCACCCCAGGTAGATTTATCCACGATGCAATTTTGTACTCGGGGCTATACACGTTGCTAATAGCCGATACTCCACCCAAGATAGACGGCTCCATACAAGTCGATTACGGCGAGACGCCCGTCTTCACTAACACTAAAATTTCCAGAACTGATGTCTAGAAAGCAGCAGACCACGAGCTTTCTGGGCAGCCTCCTCAACCGGAGTTCGAATCCCTCCCGTTTCAGATATTGCACATACACATTAACTATGATATCTTCAAAAATATACAAGCAGATAAATTTGTGCGAGTTCTTTTTTAGTCATACCAAATTTAGATGCTGTTAATATTGATCCGTATTTCGATAGCGACGAGAAGCGTCCGCCGTATTTCAAGTATCTGCGAGAGGGAAGATCGGCTCCATATCCCACAAACTTCTGACAGATTTTTTGGCTAAGCTGGGGAGGATCAGAATGAAATCGCCATGTTGCGGGAGCAGATGTCTCGTTTTCGGGCATCCAAGTGTTAACTGTGATTTGCTGAACTCTAGCGGCTAGAGACTTTGGCTTCCCGTGTCTGAGAGTTTAATATCAAATTATCCAATAATAGCACGAGTTTCGCCGTTAGCTCCCGGGATGAGGCTTGGCGTGCCAATCAGATAAACTGTCCGCTCTGTTGCCTCGTATTGACAACGCGAGCTCATGTGCTCTACGCTGTGTCCTCAGTTCTTTGTGCTATGCATGTTTGTCTCCACAGGAAGCCCGGCCCCAGAATGTACTTTGAATTGCATATTTCTTGTAACCCTTGCAAAAGCCACTCTACACGGATCTATGTTCTTACGTGGCCCAAGGTGAAAGTATTACAAGGATCATCAATGTTATCTCCTCTAAGTATGAGCCAGGCACCCCCTCTATTGACTAATTTCAAAAAGCATCCATACTAAATGCGCTCATATTCCTCTATAATTGCAACAGTACTCCGTAACTATTGACCATTTGCCCAACTGTGACACCACTTGAGTGTCTAATTATACATAAGCCTCTTTGGTTGAAAGATGGATACTCCGCAAGCACAACACGAAAAGCGTGAAGCAACTCAGGACGAAGTTGCTAATCTACAGCATGTGGCTGACTCGGTACCAGCTGCTGTTTGGGTAGCCCTCGTAGCGGGTGCAGCAGAACGATTTACATTCTACGCTGCAACAACTCCATGGCGTAAGTGTCAAGATAGCTGTCAAGCTGTAAATTCAGCTAGTTCCTAACCTAACCCTATGTAGAAAACTATATACAAAATGGCCGCGGCAATCTTGCTGTCCCGGGTTCTTTAGGACTTGGTCAAGCAACCGCGACAAATATTTCCAATGCATTTTTTTTCTTCTCGTTTTTGTCGCCTTTGCCATTTGCCATTCTCTCAGATGTATGGCTAGGGCGTTACAAGACGTTATGTCTAAGCTTCTCGTCGGTGCCCCTTATACCCCATATACTGATTAAGGCTAACTGGTTGTATAGCCTTAATATTTGCGGGTGCTTAGCGCTTTTTGTTACTTCTCTTCCATATGTGACAAAAGATTCCATCAAAATTGCCGGATTAGTAATATCCATGGTTTTTCTGGGACTTGGGACAGGCGGTGTGAGAGCCACGGTGTCTCCATTTATAGGTATATAATTTGATATGTCTTCTTGAGAGTTCATGAAAGCTAACCTCTCTTCAAACAGGTGATCAATACACTGTTTTGACTCCGCAACTGGTAGTCACAAAACTGGGTAAAAGTTTTGTCACGGATAGAACATTGACTCTTCAGTATATATACAATGTTTTCTACTGGTGAGAGACAATCTAGGCTGCAGGAACATATATCTTGCTAATGATTATTATTATAAGGTTCACCAATATTGCTAGCCTCTCACTGATTGCTTCTACCTATTTGGAGAAAGAAGTTGGCTTCTGGGCTGCTTACCTCCTTCCATTGAGTACGGTTTGGATGTTAATTCCACTGATGCTATTTTGGCAGAAAGAATTCGGTACGTTGTGAGTATAGTTACCCCCTGCCTAGCATCCCGTTGATAATGGAAAGTCAAGCTCTCGCCGCAGGGGAATGTTTTACCGCAGGCGGCAAAAGTCATTGCGTGTGCAATTCGGGGACGCTTTCGATTAGATGCAGCAAAACCAGCATACCAGGCGGCAACGTATGGTAGGGAAGTTGAGTGGACCGATCAGTTCGTCTCTGAGATGAAAAAGGGCCTCATAGCCTGTAAAGTAATGTGCGTTATTTCACAGACCTTATCTATTCAGCTGGTTACTTGCTAAGATCTTGTGGCAGGGCTTGCTTTGTACCATTTTACTTGTGTACTAGTCAGCTCACGAACAACTTGATCTCTCAAGCTGGTCAGACGAGGCTGGGCGGGATTCCAAATGACACGATTCAGGCACTCAATTCCATCGCTTGCGTTCTGTTAGGCCCGCTTATACAAAAGATACTTTATCCGGCGCTTCAAAGGTATGGAATCGCATTCAAACCAATTGCACGGATGACCTCCGCGTTTGTCATTATGAGCACCGCGATGGCTTTTACCGCCGGGCTGCAGAAATTGATTTATACGAGAGGGCCATGCTACGATCAACCGCTCTCTTGTCCAGACTCGAAGGACGGCCGCATACCCAATGACATCAGCGTCTGGACGCAAACACCTGTTTATTTCTTGCTGGCAGGCGCAGAGATACTAGGGTTTGCAACATTATCCGAGTATAGTTACTCCAAGTCACCACAGGATATGCGCAGTCTAGTCCAGGCATTGCGACAGGTTACAGCAGGAATTGGATCTGCGCTGGGAATAGCTACCTCACCACTCGCGGTAAACCCAAGAATATTGTACCTATATACGGGTTTAGCGGTGGTGATGATAGTTACTGCCCCCGTATTCTGGCTGATATTCCGGGGCTATGACAAAATTGACGAGGAGCTCAACTGTATAGAGTCAGCTCAGCCTGCTAACAACGGCCATACAGGGGACACAGTACATAGTGTCCGCCCATGATAGAAGGCTGCAATTGGCAAACTTACTCCATACGCTCATGTACATTTGTCTACAGCCCTAGTTAACTACCCTGAACCACGCGGAGTAGTCAAACTATAAAAGACTTAGCTACTTGGTCCTCCGTACACCACCCCTCTTTCCACGACGCATACTAAGAGACGTGGCCAGGCCCCAAAGAAATATCCAGAGAACGCAAGCCTGCGCTCAACAACTAGAGTAAAACGATCTGCATAGACCCGCATTAAGCCTACTCCGGGTAGGTTACGTACCACTGTTGCCCAGCCTGTTGGTTTACCCTGTCCAACTTTAACAACATAGCACAAGTCATGTACAGACAAAGAGGTGCCTCTACTGTGTTGTTAACCTTATTACTCCGTAGATGACTCGAAATACTCCGGGTTCCTAAGTAGTCGCATAACTTGGTTATCCGAAAAGTCAGTCTGAGCTCAAGATCGCTTTGCGGGGTATGCCCGGCTGGAAGCCCATTATCATATTTCTTTGAAATTCACCTCCGGCCTGCATTTGACTTGGGAAAGCTGGTAAGGAAAAGACACTGGGGATCTGACACAATTCGGGTATATTCGAGGCCATGTGCTCTCGGGTAGGCAACGTTTATCCCGGTAAAGACAATGTCTTAGATGACTCTTTGTGCTCGCGGGATACGTTCGCTACCCCCTGTTCGGGTTATGGCCAATTGGTTTCGCCATTTAAAGCTGGGCAAAAGTCAACCGGTCTGGCGGGTCGTTTAAGGTTGAGCTGACGAGAACGAATGTGTAACATCCAAGGGTTAACTTAGTGTACGCCGTAACATGATGCATGTAGCTAACAAGTGGGTTAGATGCTGACCACACACACACGTATGCGTATACTTACGTATATACACTATGTTCGTAAAGTGGAATGCTTTTCCGTGGAGAGCGCAAGGATGCTATATGGATACTCCACGTTTGAGGATATAATAGCCTGGGTCAGCGTTCCATATCTCATATATAAATAAGCACGGACTGCTAAGCTCCTTAACAAAGCAGTAGCAATTTCTCAGACTCCAGAAGAACACTAAACTGCCAACGGAATTTATACTCAGATTTATCGTTTGAAGATTAATTTTGTGAAACCAGAGACCATGAGTAAGAATAGCATTGGTGATACGTCATTTTCGTATGAAGCCTTCTTGGTCAACATGCCCGGTAACAAAGGTAAGCTTATTTTGATATACCTTATGAGGTGTCCTAGTTGAATTAATTTGGATACTGCGGATAGCTGGGGCAAAGATTTCGTGCCATTGGAGGCTTCCTGAGCCCGCTGGAGACGTGAATGCACAGAGATATTTCTACTCCCTTGATCTGCTCCTGCAGATAGAGATTGTTGCTTGCGAAAACAACGAAAATGGGAGCGTTATTCCGTATGCCACTGGCACCGTCCTTGAGAATCTCGTCCATGAGTGCTACAAGGTTCATGAAGCGTCAGGCATCAAGGTTGAACAGGCAGTAAAGGTGATACTTGTCCCCAACAATGGATATCTCTGCAGGACTGATGTCCTTGAATTGAGAATGCGAAATTCTGCATTTGTTGGCTCAGTTATTCGGTTTCCACCTTCTCCTGATGGCCATTTGTCATCGATTGCAGTAGCCGATTACGGCAAATGCAGCTTCCTAACTCTGTTATCTTCGGCTCCTGGGGCGTTACTTGCGAAGCAGTCCTTAACATCTCATTCTGAAGCATTCGCGGTATTAGAAGAAGAGTTGAGAGTTCGGTTGTCTTTCAACTGGGTGCTTCCGACTAAACCGACCGTACGCAAAGTAGCCCTGATCGGAGGGCGTCCCATGTTCGACATACATAAAGGATCATATGGCCATCAAGGAACATTCGAGGCAGCTTTAGCCCTAGGTATATTGGTAGACGTCGTCGATCGACCGGGGCATTGGCTTGAAGGAGAAACGTATTCACATCTAAGAAATGAATTCGTGGCCGTTGATATGACCAACGACGCGGAGCTTCCCTCGAGGATTGCTGAAGCACTCAAAGGAAGGGGAATCGATGCTATCGTTACATTCTCGGATGAAGTTGTGGTCGCCACGGCGAAAGCAGCAGAGATATTGGGCCTTCCAACCGAGTCCGCACAAGCGATTTTACGTGCCCACAACAAATATGAGACACGCAAAGTGCTAGACTCTGATAATACCCAGACACAAACATTGCGACTAGATAATGCGGCGCAGCTGGACGACCCTCCTGTAGCTATGAAGGTGGCATATATGCAATATCCGTTGATTGTCAAGCCATGTCGGGATGGCGCATCCCGTGGCGTCAGGAAAGTCAACAACTATGCGGGCATGCGCCAAGCAGTGCAGCAACTAGAAGAAAGTGGCCTCTCGAAGTACGGAATTCTCCTCGAGACGTATATCGATGGTCCAGAGGTAGATGCCAACTTTGTGCTTTGGGAGGGCGAGGTCCTTTTCTGTGAGATATCTGATGAATTGCCCTGTCAGGCAGATGCAATGGATGCGACTATTTCGGACAATTTCGCGGAAACCATCATGTTGCTACCAAGCAGGCTGGATCCCACAGAAACACAGCTTATTCAATCGTCCCTTCATCAGAGTCTTCTCAAGCTAGAGTTCCGCTCTGGAGTCTTCCATGTTGAGGCCCGGGTGCGAAATTCTTCCATGGGCTATATCCAAACTGATGGTATCTTGGACCTTGCTGACGTCGTTCATTCAGCAGCAGCGAAAGACCAGCCAGATGTGTTTCTGATTGAAGTCAATGCTCGGCCACCCGGGCTGCAATGTGTGTTCGCTACCACCTATACATATGGTGTGGACTTCTATGGGCTTCAGTTTCTTCGGGCACTCGAGGATCGTGAGCGTTTTAGGGCTTTGTCCAAACCTTTCTCCTGCCACGCTCAGTACTGGTGCGCAATAGTAATGATTCCTATCCACCGCCCAAACATCATAGTACCGGATGACCTTTGCGAAAGAGTAATTGAACATCTTCCAGAAATTACTCCGCACATGTCTCGGGCGGAGCGCATTACTTGGACAAAAGTCGTATCACCAGTAGGGGGAACAGGGTTTATAGGGTATTTCCTATTGTACTCGAGGACCAGCAGAAGGCATTTGTTGGAGGTCGGAGGTCGTGTCAGAGAGATCTCTCAAAGGATATTGGATAGTTGACAGTTTGAGGGTGCAACGGAAATACCATTGTAACTAGCCGAAGAACTGAGGAACTTACTTTCTCCATGCATTTAGAGAGATAAGCCGGTTAAGTACAGCAGATAGTCGAAAAGATGATGTATTCCCCACATTGCAGAATGAAGTTGTGATAAGAGTGGCACGGAAACAGCGGAGGCATTCCAGGTTTTTGTTTGATTGCGTGTGGTTTGGCGTTCGCTTTGTAGCTAGAAAGTCTGTCGGTAAAAAGTATTTTTGTAACTAACTATACACTATGGCCGACTGGGTTTAGATTTCCGGGATGACAGGTATCATTTTGGAGATATCATTTGTAATTACTGTCCGTTTATTGCATGGTTAATGACATCCTAAGCTAGCAGTAGCCTAGATATAGCCATATTCCAGAAGCTCAAGTGCACTAGGTATATCTCTGGAACAGGACCGAGTGTGGTATAGACGGCCTCTATATCCTTTTTGGGTATATTCTTTTCGATCAGTTTTATTACTTAATAATCAAGCTTGGTCCTTGTTTCATCTTCTCTAGCAGTATTTGCCAAGAGCTTAGGTATGCGTTATAATTCTCAACGTGTGGAGGCCAAAACTCTTGCGCTATAGCCGCCTAGATCGTATCCTTCTTTTCAGTTAAGGCCCATCGACCTTAAAAGAGTCAAACATTCCAGGGTGATTGAAACGTGGAGGTGGAGGTACTGGATAACTTTTATTGACATGGCCTATTATAGTAACTAGTTAGCCAGCAACAGAAAAACTTACGGAGTACCCCCGTAGCCCAAGGCCATATATCTGTTGCAGCTGCCCAGGGCATGGAATGAGCGGATCGAGCAAAACATAGCGGTGGCCAGATCTACCGAACCGCAGCAAGCCTCTGCTTAGCCCACGGACAAAGGAATAAGATGGTATCGTTAATGTTGTGTAACTCCTTTAAACAGCAGAGCTCCATGTTAAGCCGGCGATTTGACTGCTCGAAAAGGACGAAGTTGTGGTGTTTGACGCGTTGAGGTCGAAGTTGAGGCTGAAGTCATCACGAGAATTTTGCCAAGACCCATCTCGTGAGCTGACTAACCTAAAGAGGATTAGCTGGCGGCAGGGAGCTCCCGCACGCGGATAAACCTAGTTTGCACCCGAATGCCAACCTATGGGAGCAGAACAACGACAGCCACCCTCACCAAGCAAGGGCCGCGAGGCAAGGCAGCAAGGCCTCGGGGCTCGCTTCAAAGAGCATGGCTTCTACGGGAGTGACAACGACGGGCCGGTCGATGTAAGCTCACCTGCCGAGAGAAAGATGGTAACTAATCGCTTGACGCGACGGCCATATCGGGGAGGGAAAACGATTCAAGACGCGCTCTCAACTGGCGTTATGAACCGGTACCAGGATTCATTTGTCTTCGGATGAGTAGGGAGTACGGAGTACAGAGTAGAGGAACTACCGGTACAAAGCGTCCGCTACGAAAAGCAGAAAGAAGTGCCATGGCTAAATCCAAATCGCCGACCGCCAAATACCCAAGCTCATTCTTAACATAAGTAGCTTGACTGCATGGCTTGGCTAGCTAACAACCAATATTCTTGCGATGAAACGTTGGATAAAGCTCACTCCGTATTGTTATACCATATTTCAATAAATGGCCGCCGTGTCTGACGCCTTACGGGCGGCTTCAAATATATCTCCGTTTTGTACGGACGTAAACGAACGCTTTGCGTCATCCCGCCCCATGAGTTAATCACCCTGCAGCTTGGCCGCCAGCCTGAGTGACGAGTTAACGATTAACCCTAGCCTGAAGGAATGTTAGACATTAGATTGCTCAGGAGGATGAAACGGAGAGTCTCTGCCGTGTGTTGGTCACTTCTCAGGCATATGGTGGGTGGTCTTGCGTGACCTCTGTGCGTATATATCCCTGGGGAATCGGCTGTCAAGCCTGATCAGCCCGTGTCCAACTGATATTTAAATGCATTCCGTTACCCGTGCGAGCGGCATGACACTGGATTTCCAATGCATGGCTGCCATGCTCCCCCTTCCAAGCCGCAGGGTTCAGCCAGGGGTCCCGTTGTATTACCTGGCTGCCACCAGTGCAGCTCAGCCTGGAAGTTGACATAAACTGGTTACGGCCTTTTTGACTTACTAACCTGAAGGATCAGTTTGGCCTAGAGATATTTAAATACTATCCCTTCTCGCAGCCCGACTCTCTTTCATATCTAGGGCTATACTTTGATACCCTTGCACATAGAATCGTGTCCCATACTCCGTACCAGAAAATTTATCAGTTACTGATAGCTAGTCAATATTACGATGGAAGGCGGAAGCCCCCTAACTTGCACTGAGGTGACGGCCCAGTGTCCCGTCGAGGCCTCGATCTACGGATACTATCCTAACCGGCCGATCAACGCTGCTCTGGTCATTGTCTTTGGCATTCTCATGCTCGTCCAAGGATGGCAGACTTTCAAGTACAAGACCTACACCTACAGCTTTGCCATGACTGTTGGCTGTCTGGGTGAAGCAATTGGTTTGTCTAGGTTCTATTCATCAGTCAAAATCTTCGCGTTAACCAGATACTGGCAGGTTACGTCGGTCGAATAATACTGCATGACAACCCATTCTCAGCGACCGGCTTCCAGATGCAAATCACCACCCTCATCATGGCTCCCGCATTCTTTAGTGCAGCCATCTACCTTACTCTTAAACATCTCTGTCTGGCGCTGGGACCGAACTTGTCTCTCCTCAAACCCCGTTTTTATACCTGGATCTTCATCGGTGTCGATCTGCTCTCGCTCACGCTCCAAGGTATCGGCGGTGGTCTGGCGGCTACTGCAAAGCAGAACAAGGCTCAGCAGGATGCCGGTACTAATGTTATGATTGCCGGTATTGTCTGGCAGGTCTTTACGCTAACTTTCTTTGGTTTCCTTGTCGCACATTTCTTCTGGAGACTCAGGAGTGAGAGGAGGCACGGTGCCAATCCAACGGCCAAACAGCTCTGGGGTAGCAGGAAGTTCAAGCTATTTCTTGGAAGTACAACCGTTGCCTTCCTATTTATATTCATCCGATGTGTTTACAGGTATGTTTCTTTCTAACGTCAGACTGGTTTAAGCACCTATGTAGATGACGGCTGACTCTGATTTTACTAGAATTGCCGAAATGGTTGGTGGGTGGAGAAACGAGATTATGCAAGACGAAGTCTCCTTCGTTGTCCTTGAGTCCTTGTAAGTTGTGCCCCCTTTATAAATACCACGTACTGGTTGTGGCATGTCTAATCCGGTAAATAGCCTATGTCTAATCGCTGCTCTGCTCATGACCGTCTTTCATGCAGGGGACTGCTTTCCCCAGATGAGAAGCGATTTTGTGGCTACTAAATTTGTTGACTCGCTCCCCTTGTCTTCCGCCGACACATCCTATACTGCTGTTCACAAGCAGCCGCTTATGCCTGGCGAAGATCATTGATCATTCAATTACCCTTCCTATCGTTACCTCCTTACCTTTTGTTATATGGATGAATGTTGGATTTAATTATGATTTAAATACGGAGTCATGAGTTTGAAACCGGGAGGAAAATATCTACTTAGATGAAACTGATGCAGGCGCCTGTCTCGTCAGAAAAAAGGGTTCATAATTTTGGTATCAAGTTTGTCTAAAATACATATCTCGTCATTTTCTCGTTCACTTTTGTCTTTAAAATCATTAGAATAGTCTCATAGCGAGAACGCTCATTAAAACATTATAAACCATTATACACCAGTAACTCCGTGCTGTTGTCCATCCGAAATGGGGGAAAAGTCTAAACTGGGAAATGGAAGAGCAGGAAAAAGTCGGTTTCTAAACGTCTCCCTCAAGTCTTCTCAGGCGGTCAATGCCAAGATGGCTTTTACCGTCTTGGCCATAGAAGAGACCGAAGGCATACAGTGCCTTGTGGCTCTCACCAGGCGGCGCGACGATAGTTCGAGTGATAAGATCCGTCTTTGTTTGGGGGGTGCGGAAGATCTTATCAACGAGCAAGGGGCTTTGATAAAGGAAGCTGACAGTGTCGGCGTAGGTGTACAGAGGATGAGGGAGGTAGCGTTTGCGCCTGGGCCAGATAGCTAAGAAGGAAAAGGCATATAGGATGGCAAACCCAATGAGGGTATAATAAGCCGGGAAGTAAGAGGAGATGCGCACCTGCTCAAGCTCGGCGTAGAAGCGCGCCATGAAGACACCGCCGGCAAGGATGGGCAGAGCGAGGGAGGCGACGCTTATAAAGGAGATATAGGCTACCTTGTAGTGGCCGGCAACGAGAGCGTGGAAGGTGGCTTCAAGAGGCAGACAGGCATTGTAAGAGAGCAAGAGAGATTTTTCTGCAAAGGCGCCGCGCGGGGAGGAAAGGTCAGCGTAGGCCTGGGCGGCGCGGAAGTAGACGTCAATGGGCTGCCAGGCAAGGAAGAGGAAGTTTGCGAGCATGGCCGGGATGAAGCTGAAGAGAAAATTGGAGGAAGAGAAGCCGGACGCAGACGGGAGAGTTGGTAGAAGAGGCAAGAAACCTCGCTCCAACGGGCGGTTGACGAAGCTGACGGTAATGAAAGCGATCAGCAGAACGAGAGAAATGACAATCCAGACGACAATAAAAGTATCTTTGAGGAACCAGGGTACCCATCTATAGCGGAAGAAGGGTGAGTGTAGGCTTCTTTCGAAGGAATCCTTGCTGTGAAGGTCCTGTCGCTCGAGGTCAATGGAATCAATGTTGTGGTTACTGCTCGTGCTGTTGCTTCTTCTGTGGCTATGGCCCTTTTCCAACAGGCGGTCGACCGAAGATACTCTCTTCAATGGTGCGGCCTCCTGGCCCAAGGCGTAGAAGCTATCCTCGGGAGCTGCAGAAGATTTCCAATAGCCTAATCGTAATTTTCTGGGAGGAAGATGGCCCGCTACATTAGGAGTGACCTCTGACTGGTCAAAGTCGTGCAGCACATTTGATCGTTGGATAAATGGGATGACGTCTGCCAGGCTTACGGGGTCCCACTGGAGACCACTGGTGCCAAAACCGAAGCGGGCCAGCAGGGCGAGCAAAGCCAGGGCAAGAATGGAGTAGAGGGAGAAGAGCGTCCAGCCAACTCCCTGAACGCTGACCCAGCGGAAACCACCATCTTGGAGAGTGCCATAGAAGCGAGGTTGGAATAGACAGCTGAGGAGAGGCACAGTAAACCAATCGACGCACCAGAAGACGAGCAGACAGACACCTACGACGGGCTCGCCATAGGTGAAGTGGGAGAGATCTGGCAGAACAAAGTTTCTAGGCAGCATGGACAGCCGCTGGAACGTGGTGTCCCTCGCCGTCTGCGCGCGGGCTATACCTGAGAGAGGAGCTATGCGGTAGACAGCCGCTTGCAGGACAAAGATCCACAGAACGAACAACATGCCGATTATCTGAGGCAGAAACTCAAACAAAAAGTATTCCGAGCCGCCAAAGTAGACGTATGCGGCCATTCCATCGTTTCTCGAAGACCAGATATTGATGAAAGCGAGGGCTGCGGCCATACCGAGAGTGAGTAGGATAACAGGACCAAGCAGTACCGGTCGAAGAACGTAAGGAACAAAAGTGAGCGGCGCGTTGATCGGGGGATCGACAGCCAGGAGGATTCCGGTCTTTGGCGAGCTTCCCATTTTGTCATTGTCATTATCATTATCATTATTGTTAGTATGATCATTAATTTCCTTTTTGACATTTGTATGTGTGTTCCGTGTATGGTCATCTTTGTTGATTTTGTTGGTTGCTGTGGTGTTGGTGTAGTAACCGAGTCCCTCGTCAGGAACAAGGCGCTCAACAGGATAGTCAGCAGAGGTAGCTAGCGATCCATGGCGTCCATGGCCCGTAAGTTCCTCGTCTCTGGTCAACTGGTCAATGGCAAAGCGAATGTAAGGTGAGTCATCCGTAGCTGGAGTCGGCGTGCCGTTCTCTGCTCGAGCTGCGGAGCTCATGTTGACAACTCTAGCCGGTATGGGCGTATCTCGTGCCTGCGTATCTGTCTGTGTCTGTGGTTGTGTCTCTGCCTGTGGTTGTGTCTCTGCCTGTGTCTGTCGACGGTCTGGAGAAGGATGTCGAGAGGAAGCTGTTTGGTAGGGGACCACAGTGACTCTACTGGCGCTGGAGTGAGAGGTCAGGTCTGAGAAGGAGTAATAGTCGTCGGAAGCAGCAATTGACTGCTGGGAGGGCGTGTGAACCAGCTTCGGCTGGCTACCTGGGCAATTAATCAGTATAAGAGCTTATAGAGGAATAATGGCCGACTTACTGCCAACGACCTTCAACCGAGGCGTCTCAAGTGGGTGCTGCTGGTGACGCTGCATAGTGGGTTTGATTATGGGTTATTGGGGGGGCTAGACGGTGAAGAGGAAGAAGAGGCAAGAGAGTGACTGGGCCCGCCGACTTCTTATCCTCGCCATCGTTGTCCTTATGAGCTTGCTGCACTAGGACTGGCGGGTGGTTGGGAGTTGTGTCCCCGTCTGGCTGGCTGGCGCGGTGATGTGGGAGGCTGGGAGTGGCCGCCGCTGCAGGCCCCAGCCTCTTCTTTTGGGCCTCTCCAGCACAACGTCGACATCGTATCATCACTCCTCCTTTGCTGTATTGTTTCATCTCAGGTCCTCCCCGTGTTTCATCGTGTTACTGTGACTGTCACTCCAGCTCGTCCCTTTTGTTTCTCTTCTCCATCTTCTCTTCCTCGTCGTCGCCCTTTTTTTACAAGTCGAAGTTGTTGTTTTACTTTTTCACTCGGGCCGAACTTGCTTAGTAATACACATATGATGACAAATTAATTTTGTTACTTGCACAGCCAGCGAATCAAATATTCTGGAGCGTGCGGAGTTAAAGTTGGCAAATTTTTATTGGTTTGTATTAGTTAACTAAGAAGTTTAATTGCTGACTAATAGCTTAAAGACCTCCAGCCTCCAAACCTTCTTTATTCTGGCTTTTTCCACTGCGGCGGGCATGATGTTTAAGTAGATATCTGACGAGAGCCCCTTTCATAGGAATGGAGCCTGGGAGACGGCATTGGGAGGATATACTAGCTGCAATAGCCTAAGATTAGGTTGATTTTACGGAGTGTATCATGATTTATTTGTTCTGTGGAGGCAAACAGAAGACCAAGTCCTCCATACTCCGAGCTACTTACACCTAGATCTGTGGCGTAGGCTTGTAGTAGAAAAACGCCGATTTGATAAGAGAGAGACGCTATATAGCTTAGGGCATTTGTTTCCCACGCTCTTTGTGCTCTTCATGGCAGTTGTCTGAAACTTTCGGCTTCCGAGTCCCAGTCAGGAGTTGCGTAGAGTAATCCGTATTTGGTTCCTCCCCTCCTTCAACCCTGCATATCAAAATGCAAGGTGAAACTAGAAGAGCTACAACACCCATAGCTGAACCCGAACCTCTACGCAACTGTATAATGACTAGTCGACCTGACGAAGTAATTAGTTAATATGATTAGCTCACTACCAAGGGGGTAAATATAGTACTTAACTGACAAATCAGACGAACCGGGCCTTGGGGATACTGCTTCTGCTTGCCATTGGTCCTCGGGGATGACATACAGATGACGAGTGTGTATAAACCACACACTTAACAACCAAGTTATCCAAACAGATCGTCAAGAATGCTGCTTGGGACCGCCTGCAGCCAGAAGGGGCTGCATAAGAAATGCGTGCCGTGCCAGATCTTCGGCTGGAAGCCTCTCTTCAGGTAACCATGTGAGCACTGATCGTAGGAAATGTAAGAACATAGTACGGCTATCCCCTTCCAGGCTCCGCTCGCGTATCTCAAAAGATTGCTCCGGGATAGGAATAGATCCTTTCCAGTTGGCTATGAACAACACTTGTTAGCTTTACAAGGCACTTCACAATTGCTGGGTTATGATCATACCGTTTTCATCCCAGTACTGAAGGCACTTGTCGCTTCGTCTTATGAACTCGAGAGGTGGAGGCCCAAGAAGTGACACCATTTCAGCTAGGTGCTGTTCATCATTCAGTAGGCCGTCTTTTCTTGCGAAGAAAAGATTTCCCGTTTCGAGGAGATCCCAGGTCTTGAACAATGAAATTAGTCCCACCTCATATATGCGCAGAATGTTTTGGTAGAGATAATCCCCTTACTGTGAGGCCGGCTGCCCAAATATCCACTTTAGAATCCCATTCCATATCCAGAATAACCTCCGGGGCCCTGTAAATCCCTGGCATAACATCACCCTTGTGCTTGTCACCGATGCGCGCTTCACCGAAGTCACAGAGAACAGGCAACCCCGTGTTTATCGGCATGGGTTGCGAGACATAGATCGTGCGGTCATCAAGAACCTTTCTAGCGATTGGCTGGTTGGCCTCACCATCTTCGATCTCAGAAAGGGCTGTAAGATCGGTTATCCCCTGGAGGATGTTATTTGCAGATATGTCTAGAAAGTTCAGTGCTTGGGGCCCAAGTGTACATGGTATGTACTAGGTAAAACATACCTGTGTGGACAATCTTGGCTTTATGTAGATAGTCTAGCCCCAAGAGGATCAACTGCATGCTCCTTTGAACCAGGGCCTCAGGCATCTGCTTGCCGGGAAACATGTCAAGGAATGCTGTGTAGCTCATCCCAAGTGGTTGGTAAAGCAAGCACTGGTGTTGGTTCCCCGTTGGACCCATGATATTGAAAGAATCAAGTATCATGCGAACAAACGGTGTTCCGGGGTGTTTGATGTTGCTCGCCCTGAGATGGTTGCAAATGGCAGTCTCATTACTTTGCCGTTTGTGTGAAGTGCATACTTTGAGAGATAGATATCGATGACTCCTAGCAGGAAAGTTGGTCATCTTGAAGACACAGTATGCGCGCATATTTTGGGAAACACTAAGGTACTAACACAAGATCCCGACAAAGCCAAACTGTAGACGAGATACCAAAGCCAAGTTTAGCCACTACTTGGTACCTCTCCACGAATATCTCGCCAATCGTAACTGGGTAAAAGTCGCCTGGAACATAGGAGGGTAGTTCCTCCTCTTCTACTTTCAGCTTTGGGTCGAGAGCCACAAACCCCGACGAAGGGAATCTGCGTGGAGGTGCGTGAGATGTCGAAGCCATGGTCCTGATTGCCGCAGGGCAAAAGTGGAATAGGGTAGTGGGCAGCGAGACACGGCGGGTATTTGGGAATGCGAGGAGTCGGGACGTAATAATACTAGCAGGTAGACGAAAAGAGCCTCCACACATAATGATTGGAGCCAAAATAAGGGCTGGGCCAAAGTACGCCGTGAGATAATAGGCGGCTACAGAGAATACACAAAATGTGTAGGTGTGGTGAGGAGGGGGCTGGTTTGGGGAGCGATGATGATGACGATAGGATCTCACTCCGGTGGACTCCGTACGTAGTTGGTCGTGCAGTGGACAAACGATAAATGGTAAATCTTTTGACTGCGTTAAGATGCCAGCCTTGGCAAGTGCCAAGACATCTCCCGAATCCGCGATGGGACGGGACCTCGGGACTGTAACAGTCACATGATTTCATGATTAGGTGAGGTTCCAAGGTTCCATTCCATCCGTGAGGTAGATCCATTTAGGTTGGCCCGATAACTAGCCGCCTTCGCCAAGATAGCCTTACAATCCTCAGACTTCCCATACCCTCCATCCACTTGTCAAAATCCCTTATTGCTTCTTCTTCTCGTGACCATTGAAATAGTTGTTGAATCCAGCCATCTGCCTCTCAGCATTGGCTGTGCATGAACTTTTCCTCGGGTTCCGATCAACAGTAGTTAAACTTGACGTTCTTGAAACACGAGCTGCATACCCCTCGTTTGGATACCCTGTCAATCTACGCGCCGGCCCCCAATATCCAGATTTAGGAACACTCCAGCTTCTTGGTACCAATAGGAAGTGTTTATTATCGCAAACCTCCAGAAATAGAAGTATGGAGTGGAAACGGCATGATACCCCAAATATATCCAGTTCATTTCTCCAATGAAAGGTCGTTCAGATCCTGTATGATGCACAGGCTGGGTCAACTGAAGGGCCACTCAGTGGGCAAGAATAACCGCCGTCTGCTATTATCCGTTGTCAAGTAGGGGGATAAAAGGCCCATAATTTTCTGTATGATCCTTTGTTCCTGACCAGAATATGAACAAAAATCCGTTGGTTCTACCCACAATCTTTTGAGGAAACTTAACGCTTCTACTTTCTTCTCTTAATCAAACCCAACACACCTTCAAAAAGATGTTTACCTCCACCAAAGCCTTGCAAATGGTATACAAAGGGATCTCCCTCGAGACACTTGGCTCAGAGGCTGGACCCGAGTTCATGAAGACGGTTAACATTGCGAGCGGGAGCATTGAAAAGAAGGTGTGTTTCACGAAGTAATTCCATTACGACAGTAGTGCTGACCAGGTTTCACAGTATCCACGGGTTGCTTATGCGCAGATCCAGTAAGAAACATTTGTCACACTATAACTATCTAATACATCCTAATGCAAGTATCCAAAAGGGGCACAATGCCACATACATCGAGCAGAGACAAGTCTGATAAACAGAAAGTCGTCACTGTCGGATACCACACCAGTTCCGGCACAAGACTCCTCTCAATTCATGCCCATGACGACAGAACCTGGAAAGAATTCTTCTCCCGACATGGAAAACCGGAAGCCGCAATCTCGGCGAGCTTGCAGAAATCATCGGACGCGGAAGCATCCAATGCAGAAGAGTCGAAGAAGTAAACCTCAGACCAATACGCACTATTTGAACGGGAATCCTCATCCAGTCAACCATGCATTCCCATGGTCAATATGGCCTGCTTTTAGTGTTACTTTTCCTCCTTCACAAACCAATGCCATTCTTATCTAAGTTCATGTGACTTGTGTTATATTGATGTGGTTTGCTGGTTTAAAGTGGTTCTTTACTTCCCCTGGTATCATTATCAGCATGTTTAAGATCACTGCATTATGTAGGGGGAATGTGCTTCTCAGTAGGGCGACCTAGGCTCGACTAAAAGCCGATTTAATTCCCATGTTCAGCTCTATCACTTGGTTAACTTTTGAATGATAAGCATCTATCAGTTATTCTCACCTTTTCTGGTTCGTTTCTATCTATCATGGAAACTGCAATATTAACACTAGGTTGCACCATACGAATGGGCTTAATTGGACATCAAATAGCTACAATTTCTGCTCCTAAACGGGAACAATGGTTATCTTCAGCTCATCAAACACCCACTTAGCATCTAGACCCTGGAGGTATTTCCTCAAAACACATACGCCACACCAGTGCGATGATAAAGATAACGGTCGTGGTACTACTAAGAGGCACCGGAGAACCTTCGACTCGTGCGCAACTTTGACAGCAACGTGGCGATTCAACCGAGTGTCAAGGACTAGCCAAACTATTGAATAGCCCCCAAGTCCAAGGTTATTCAAGAGGCGCTATCGCAGAGGTTTCTCAAAGGCACCACTAGAATAGGTTTCGTGGATGGCGGTAGTGGGTAGAGCCTGGCATTCATGGTGCAACAACGAGCCAAGGGTTGGCAAGGGGAATATTTTGAACTGTAGATGAACAAGGGATGATAGGGTTAGTTTGAGCTTTTTTTGTCAACATGCTGCTATGCACGCTAATTCTATTGATCACTGACAGGCGCAGGTTAGCAAACTCGGTTCCACTACTGCTGCTCAGGGACCTATGAAATCGTCAAGATACAGCAAGCCACCATTCTAGGGCAGAGTGTGTTCCTAAGTAGTTACGCAGCTGCCCATTAACTTCAGCTCACAGGCAGAGGGTCTTTGTCAGCTTTGATTTGTCCCTGGATTCCACTTCCAAGGCCCGCTAGCAACCATGGATCGTAGATCAGCTCCTCGGTCGTCGGACGCTGCTCGGGGAGCCAGCGAAGGATCCTCCGCAGAAAGCGTAGGAAGCCTGGCACATCTTCACCCTCAATATCTGCAGCTAGCCCCTCGAGAGATATCTCTGGGAGAGGAACCACATTTTTCCAGTTCCCTGTTCCGAATATGATTTCGTCAGTATATATAGGGAGAGAAAATGAGATTTGTTGTTGTAGAAGTCGACAAACCATTTTCATCCCAAAAGGCCTGACATAGTTTGCTCTGGCTCCAGAATTCGACAGGTGGTGGGCCCAGGATAGCGGCGAACTGCGCAATGAGATACCTATCATCAGGTTCTCCAGTCTCTGGGTGCTGACGGTTGAACATGGGGTGGGGAGCAACAAGATCCCAGGCCTTCAGACAGATTATTTAGCTAGAGAGGAAGAGATCACTGAGGTGATGTGACTTACCACCATCGCAACGCTCCAGATATCAACCTTTACATTCCATCTCATGTGCATAACGACCTCGGGGGCCCTGTAGATATCGGGCATGATATCGTCAGTATGTCCCTCCTCGTTCATCACCCTGGCCTCTCCAAAATCACAGATCAAGGGCAGCCCTCCGTTCGGAAGAGGCAGCCTACGCATGCTGTAAATGGAGCGATCCCTTAGGACTTTTCCGGAGATGGATTCTTGCATTCATCTTCCTCATCT